GAAGGAAGGAAGGAAGGAAGGAAGGAAGGAAGGAAGGAAGGAAGGAAGAAAGGAAGGAAGGAAGAAAGGAAGAAAGGAAGGAAGGAAGGAAGGAAGCATCCTAGAAAAATCTTTGTTTGGGCTATGATAGGGTTCAGGATGCCCATGGGACACCAAAGTGTCTAACTATATCTCAAACTATTATCTGTCTTCTGAGCTCCCAACTTTTATCTCTCATTGTCTATCAGAGGAACATTGCTGCAACATTGACACTTTGGTGTCCTGTGGGCATCCTGAACCCTATCATAACCCAAACCAAGATTTCTCTAGGATGCTTCCTTCCTTTCTTTTATGTAGAAATAATCACTGAAGCCATGGGAGGAAATGAGATTATCAGAAGAGGGAGGCCAGAAAGATCAAATGGTAGTAGATTTATAGTCAGAAGATACCTTAGAGACAATCTTGTCCAATGCCTCCATTTTTACAGACGAGGGAACTTAACCCTGGAGAGGTTGTTACTTTTCCAAGGTGACACAGGATTTGAAGGGGCAGAGCTAGAATTTCAACCCAGGTCCTCTCACTCCAAATCCTGTACTCTTACTATAACAGAAAACAGAAGCTTGCTGAATACTTACCTTAGAACTTTAGGAAAAGAGTGAGGTGCCCCAAACATTCTGCAAACAACTAGTTCCTTAAGAAAGAGCCCTGCAGGCTAAACCGATTGCAACCCACTGGGGTCAAGGATGCGGCAAAGACTTCTCTCCACTGCGCTTGTTTAATAAGCATGAACTAACATGACATGGAGGAACATGGGATGGGTGGTTCAGGAAAAGTGTAACTCAGATGAACTGGTCCAATCCTGTGCTCAGGTGGATGGAATATGGATCTTACTAACCATTTAAAAGTTGATTCTACCACTGTACCATCGCCCACGTGCGGTGTGCCGGCTTCTCACAAGAAGCGTAATAAAGGCTTTCCTTCACTCAAAAAAAAAAAAAAAAAGTAAGAGAGTGAGGAACCATCAAAGAGAAAAAGAAGGAATAATTAGAAAGGTAAGAGAGCCAGGGTACTGTGGCATTTCAGAAGCCAAGAGCTTCTGGATAAGAAAGATGGTACATGAGAAAGCCCAACAGATGTCACTCCCAAATAGTCTTTTGTACCTTTTTTGGCCTGTTTTAAAGAGATAAAGATGATGGGAAATGAAGGTTGACACCTTGGGTTGTTTTTGTTTTTTTACCTACTAAAATGACTGCTGCTTTCCTTAGATAAGCCCTAGTGCTCTTTAAAAATTCTAAGGTCGTATAAATAGTCTCTGAAATGTAGTTTCCATAATTGTTGAACTAGAAAGAAAAAGAGAAAAAAACAACCTCAAATAAAGAGAAAAAAAGCTCCCCCATTTCTCCCCTCAAGTATTTTTTAGATAAAATCTTCATATCTAAGAATACTTGATTTGAAATTAATGTTCAAGTCCCACTCTGTCGCTTATGGGCTATATGATGCTTAACATTCATAACCTCTCTGGACCACTGTTTCCTTAAGTGAAAATAAGGTAGAATAATAACATTTATTCTACCTAATTCAAAGGACTGTTGCAAGGAGCAAATGAAATAATATATGAAAAGTATTTTGAAACTACAAAACAATATTTGTTTGAATAATTATTATTACGTAATAATAATAGTAATAATAGAAACTAACATCTGTTTTGGGTTTATCTCCTTTGATCCTCACCACCATCCTGTAATGTAGATGCTAATATTATAATCCCAATTTTGTTTTGATAGAGGTTTAGTGACTTGCCTAGGATTTCAGGGTTAATAAGTATCTGAGACTGGATTTGAATCTGAGATTTCTCACTTTTGAGGTCAATATTCCATCCATTATACTAAACATACAATATAAAAACTAGGGAACAGTCTGAAACAAGGTTTTTTTTTTTTCAAACATGAACTTTATTCTGCTTTCTTTCACACTTGATGCCCTAGGTCAACATCTGTGTTGTAATTTTGAAAGTTTATCGTTGGGGCAGCTAGGTGGCACAGTGGATAGAGCACTGGCCCTGAAGTCAGGAGGACCTGAGTTCAAATCTGGCCTCAGACCAAACACTTGACACTGACTAGCTGTGTGACCCTGGACAAGTCATTTAACCCCAATTGCCTTTAAAAAAAAAACGTCCATCATTCAACTTTCTTCCCTCAAAACCTTTTCTCCTTGCACGCTCAATATCCCTTTCCCTTATTCTGCCCTCAAGGGATTTTGGGCCTTTCCGTTTATTCGTGACAGATGTGCTTCTCTACATTAGAGCTAGTATTAGATCTTACCTTGTCCTTCTATTCTCTAGCCAAAACCCCAAATACAGAGTTTATCAATGAGGTATACAGATTGCATGCTGGTGGAGAAAAGGTAAGGAGAGATCTACTAGAGTTTTCCTTTCAGAATCTTGACTGTGGTCGCCCATCAACACCCTGTAGTTTCCTTCCCAAAGATCTATCTTCCCTTCCATTTCCATACATTCCATCTCTCAGCCAAGCCTCCAGATTTAGTCTAATGCCCCTGTGCCAGTAAAAACCCAAAAAGTAACTTACAAGGCAGTTGCAGATGCTGAGCACAACTATCTCATAATTGTAAACTTCATCTTGGAGCAAAGGTGAAGAGTTCCACTTAAAACATGGAGCACAGATGTTTAATGTATATTTACATGCCTGTGAGGCAGAGGGGAAAGAGTCAGTGAGATATTCCATTTAGTGCACACAGTTTTCATATAACTGCATTCCCATCCCCACCATCTTGTTGCTCCATTCGTTTAATAAAATCATCAGTTTCTAACTCTTGAGAGAGCTCTCTCTCCTAAAAGAACCAACAAAAAGTGCTCTTTAGGATCCTCTAGTCCTTTGAGAATTCTTGATGCTGGCTGGGCATTGTGCTACACACCCGTAATTCCTGCTACCCGAGAGGCTGAGGTTGGTGGACGTCTTGAGCTCAGGAGTGCTCAGCTATAGTGTGCTAAGCCAATTGGTTGTCCATAGCCAAGTTCAGCATCAAAATAGTGAACCCTAGGAGCAGGGAGAATTATGAGGGACCATGGGCATGAGTTTGCCTAAGGAGGGGCTAAATTGCCCAGATGGGAAAAAAACAGAGCAGGTCAAAGCTCCTGTGTCAATTACTAGGGGAATCAAGTCTGTGAATGGTTGCTATACTTGTAGCCTGGGGGAGATTGGGAGACCTAGTCTCAAAAAATAAACAAATAAAAGAATTCTTGTAATCATTTCTGCATCATTGTGTTAGCTTTTATGAGCTATTAGTCAGTTGCCTAGTAATGAAAGCCCAGCTGGGGAAACAAGAACAGGATTTTTAAAACTTCTCTATATTCCAGTCCTTCCCGCTAGAGGGAGCCAGGGAGAATGTTTCACAAGCAAGGTGGTTCCCATAAAGACCTTAGATTTCCAGTGCCAGGGAAACATCATGGATAGATGGACTTACTTTAACTACTTTGATCTCTATATCTTCCAAGAACAGGATCAAAGGTACCAAGGCCTTGATAATAGTAGGCTTTAACATCCGAGTATATTGATTCATTTCCTTGAGTAATTCACCAAAATGTCTAATGGCCATTGCTCGAATGCTTGGCATGTCCTGTGAAGTACAAAGAAGATTTCACTTCTTGCCCTTAAGCAAGGCTGACTTGAAAATCCAGGTATACAAAGCAGGAAGATCATGGAGCCAACTACCTGCTTTATGAAAGGATTTTCTTTATATGCCCTTAATTTTGAGGTTTTTAACCTTATTAGTTATTACACTTTTTTCAAAGAGTATAAGTTATCATCCCAGCAGTTCAACTTAGGACAAATTCAAACCCTCGAGAAAGGGTTCTTAACCTTTTAGTGTGGCTTGGACCCATTTGACAATAAGTCTGTTTAAGCCTATGAGACTCCTACTCTGAAGAACATTTTAAAATGCATATAATATATAAGATTGCAAAGGAAGCCAGTTATATGGAATTGTAGTTATGAAAATATTTTTTACAAAGTTTATGGGACCCCAAGTTATAGAACCATAACCACACTTTTATTTAGCACTTTCCATTTGCATTTAAAAGAACAGTTATTCACACTTACATGATGCCTGAAGGTTTGCTGAGCACCTTCTGATAACAATCCAGTGAGATAGGTAGTATAAATATTATTATCTTCAATTTATAGATAAGTAAAGTATGGCTCTGAGAGGTTAAGTAATTTATCCAGGGCCACACAGTTAATAAGTATCTGAAGAAGGATGTGAACGCAGGTATGGTGACTCCATAACCAGCAATCTTTTTACTATAATATGCTGCCTGTCAACATGATTTGATTTACTTTTTCTTTCTTTTTTTCTTCTTTTCTTTTCTTTTTTTTTTTGGTGAGGCAATCGGGGTTAAGTGACTTACCCAGGGTCACACAACTAGTAAGTGTTAAGTGTCTGAGGCTGGATTTGAACTCAGGTCCTCCTGATTTAAGGCTAGAGCTCTATCTGCTGTACCACCTAACCGCTTCTACTTCTTTTTTTTCAAAAAAATTTTAGTGACGCCTTTTGTCTTTACACCATATTCATTTTCAGAAACACTCTTCCCCCATTTGAACCTTCCCTTGTAATAGAAAAAATACAATTATGCACAGACTGTCTGAAAATATATACAATATTCATAAGGTCATAGATTTACCAACAGAAGGGACCTTGAAGTTCAACTTACCCTAAAGCCCTCATTTTATGGGTGCAGAAACTGAGGCCCAAGAAGATTTAAAGATTTGCCCCAAATCTCATAGGCTTTAGGTAGCAGTGCCAGGAACTCAGCCAAGGACTCCTTGCTCTAAAGCTAGGAATCTTCCCACCATATCATGCTGCCCTCTATCTTGCCTTGGTTAACTCCTACCTACTCTTCTCCCTACCCCCCACCCCTACATATTTCTTGACCATGAAGAGGGAGTTATATTTCTTTGTTTCCTGGGATCTTTATCAGTTTTTCAAATTATCAATCAATCAGTAAAGATTTGTTAAACACCTACTATGTGCCAAGCACTCTGTCAAGCACTGTGGATACAAAAAGAAGCAATTATAATTCATAAAAATTCAGTCTACATATAACATTTTTTTCTGAAACATAACAAATGTATAAAATACAGGCACATTTTTTCAATCAAAGGGTAGGAGGCATTTCTGGAAAATCCTAGAAACCCAGAAGAATGTCACCTGGATGAACTATGGCTAAGTTGGCTTCTATAGATAGCAGCTTATACAAAAGTATTAGTCCTGAAAGTCTGAATTATGGAATTGTAACCAAATTCTAGGATTCCTCACTCCTTTTTGGAACACTCACTCTTGGCATTTGGCAACGAGTCTTAATATGTGTTATTGTGCATTGTAATAAGGGACACAATATTCTAAGAAATACTTGTACCTGACAAAGTAATGATGGAGAGTAGGAATTCTAGAAAAGTAAAAGTAAAATTATCAGACACATTTTAGTTTTTCATAGTACTACTTTCTACCTCATACATTAATTTGATATAACTGAAGATCTCTGGACATGGCCTCAGAAGACCTTGGTTCAAATCCTAACTTTTACATTAGCTACATGGCCTGGGTCAAGTTGCTTAAACTCTTGGAGTCTCTGTTTTTTCATCTACAGAATGAGGATAACATTTACCTGGGGTAAGAGTGAAGTGGAGTTGTGAAAATCACATAAGATGAATGAATGAATGATTTATTAAGTGCTTACTATGTGCAAATCAAGCTACTAAGCTCTGGGGATACAAGTAGAAAAGTAAGACAGACCCTCCAGTCAAGGTGCTCACATTCTAATGGGGAAAACAACACATGTGGAAAGTTTCAGCTGCAAATCAGATGGAAAAATTCCATGGTACTTAGGGTGCTGTAGCAAAGCGGATGTTAATGACTTTTCTTTCATGTCATTATTTAATATCTATTCCCAGGGCTCTTTGGTGAAGTTGAGGAAACTGAAGAAGTAGAAAGTTAAGTGACTTTCCCAGGGTTACCTAGCCAGTAAGTATATGAGGCTACATTTGGACTTAGTTCTTTCTGACTCCAGGTCTAACGTTCTAGTCACTGTTCTACATATGTATGTCAATGTCTCTGAGGGGAGTAACTATATTCACAGAGCACTTACTATGGTTTTCCATACACTGATGATCTCATTTTAGCATTTTACAAAACTAGATATCCCTCAATAATTACACCTCTCATTTCTGAAAATTGTGTTTGTCACCCTGGTTGTATTATAATCTTCCTAAAGCATGACATGAAAATTTCAACTTGCAAAACAGTTAAATTAGGAAGTGATTTTTTTTATTTTAATGGAAAAGAATTCTCTGCTTTACTGAAGAATTCTCTAGGTGATTCTTCCAAGCAGCAAGGATCTTTAGAGCTTTGAGGGGAGGATACCATTTATTAAAAATTCTATGCCATGTCAAGCTTTCATCAAAGGGATTATTGCATGAAATGAGGCAGTCAAAATGCAAAACCCTATCAAAGGGGGATAGCTCTATACAATGGAAAGAACACTGGATCCAGAGTCAGAAGACTTGGGTTCCAGCATCAAGTAGCTATGGGATTTTAGGTGACTCCCTATAGGTCCCAGTTTCCCTATCTATAAAATAGGTGGAAAGGACCAGATGATGACTAAGGTCTCTTCCTTCTCTATACTTCTAGATGTCAGCATTACCCTTTCTTTAAAATAAAAAAGTGGAATGCTCAGCCTGTTAATTTTATTTTATTTCTTAGAGGGAGAAAAGGCATCATTCTCTATCTTCCCACTGTCTTCAATTCCCTTTCCTATGTTTGGGTTGCTTCATTCAAAGATAGGTATTTTACTGAATAATGCTCTGAAGTCTCTGGGTTAGAGCATTGTCTAGAAGGATTTTGGAATGCAGTGCTGTCAGGTTGTATGGGACAGTCCCTGGGCTGTAGCCCTCCTCTCTCAGCTACCAACTAATTCATCCCATGTTAGGTGCCTCACTTACATGGTCCATGAGGGGGTAGTAGCTGGAAGCAATTGGGACACACAGGGAGGAGTATGTTACTTTGTCCATCCCAGACAGAAGCCTTCGGAGGGTATTCATGGCCTGTATTGTGATAGTTTTGTCTTTGGAGGAGAAGGAATCCACTATACAAAATATTAACTCTTTGACGTTTGATACCTGCATAAGAGAACCAGTAGAAAAGACGTTCCTTTATCCCCTTGGCAGACAGAGAGAAAATTGCTTGTTACTGCTAAGCACTAGTAACCAGGGGGAAATGACAGTCATGTCAGTAGATAGGGGAATAAAGGGAGTAAGTGTTTCATATAGCATCTATTATGTGCCCGGCACTGTGTTAAATGCTTTTTACAAATATTATCACATATGATAGTAATCGTAGGAGGCAGGTGATATTATTATATCCATTTTACAGCTGAAGAAACTGAGGCAAATAGAGGTTAAGTGAGCTGCCCAAGGTCACACAACTAGTGACTGTCTGAGGCAGAATATGAACTCAGGTCTTCCCAACTCCAAGTCTATCATGCTATCCACTATTCCTCCAGCAGTCTTTAGACAGCAAGGACTCCAGAGGGCATATGATTCATTTCCCTGGTTCCAAGCAAAGCAGAATTCAAACGTGGTATGAGTGTCCCCTTTGCTGGATCCTCCTTAGGGCCACTGGGGATAATATGCTGGAGTCAGCGCTAACCGTTAAATTTTTATTATACACACATACTACAGAAATTGGCCATCTAGATAATAAATAGATAAATAAAGAAATCCCTCCAAATCAGGGATTTTCTTTATTTGTCTATTTATTTATTTGTTGATTGTTTAACCACAAGAACATGTTAATAATGCAGCTTAAACTTAAAAGTATATATGCATATGTTCTCCTCCCCCCACCCCGAGGCCGGTAGTTTTATATTTGCCTGATTATTCCTGTATTGGGAAGAGAATAAGCATTTATTAAATGCCCACTATGTGCCAGGGACTAAACTAAACACTTTACAAATATTATATCATCTGATCCTCACAATAACACTCTGAGATAGGTGCTATCAGTGTTGAGGTTTAGTGGTGCTGAGACCCCGAAATAGCCACATGCGGATCCTGCCCAAATGAATTTGACCCAAGCCTTCTTTCAGTCAAAGACAAGGTGTATTAAAGATCCGTCATATTGGCCAGACTCTGAAGGAACCTGAACATTTGAAAGGCTCGTATTGACAAGTGGGCTAGATTGAATCTGAGCCATTGGCCAGATTTTTAGAATCTGAGCACCTTAATGGAGGCCAAGCTGGATCTCATATGCAGAAAGACTGTGGGAGGGATCTCTGAGTGGCCAAGTAGTCAGAGGTGACTGGGAGGTAACAGGGGAAGGACCATGAATGGAGTAACCAAGGAAGACTGGCATCTAGATAGGATCAAGGAGCCAGGCACAGACAATGAAAGGGCAGTTAATTAACTGGGTAGAGTCGAAGCCAGAGACAGTGAAAGGCCAGTTGAGTGGGATAGCTGGATGCCTCAAGCAAAATCCAGAGACTTGACCACATGGGGAAATTCAAGGAGACTTCAAAGGTGTGTGGGGGTGTTTCCAGAGCCTGTACCTCTTCACTAGTACACTGATTTTACAGTTAAGGAAACTGAGAAAGGGAGAGTTTAAGTGACTTGCCCAGTCATAGGAACTCAGATCTTCCTGGCTCCAGTCCTAATACTCTACCCATCAGGCCGCCTAGCTAGCTGTCTATTGCTCTATTGCTTGAGTTTAGTGAAAGTGCAGTAGAAGGCTCCAGTCATTACCAGGCTGCTGATCTGGTGACTGAAGGCTGAAAACAACAACAATAAGGGGCATTTATATGGGCCTTTAAGGTGTGCAAAGTGACACACCCATGATCTCATTTGGACCTCACAACATTCCTGCCTATGAGCCTATATCTGCCTATATGCAAGGAGATAAGGGGGAAAAAAGTCATTAAAAAGAAAACAAATGAGAGAATAAGAGAAAAAAGGAGAGAAAGGATAAGAGGAAGGTGACTAGAAAGAAGCTTAGAGATCCAGCTCCCTCATTTTCAGGTGAAGAAACTAAAACCCAAGGAGGTTAAGAGACTTTCCCAAGAACTCAAACCAGATCCTCTGTCTACAAACCCCAATGGTCTTTACACTGCCGCACTGCCCTATCTCCAGAGAAGGAAGGAGAGGAAAGGACATTTATTCCTTTTCCCTTTTTTATGTTACTGTCTAAGGAAGAGGGAAGTGGTCTAAGTCAGAAGCAGAGCTACTCAAAGCATCTGAGCCCATCAGCAATGGGGCCCCGAGTGGTGACCCACACTTCCAGCCTGGACTTGATAGTGAGGCCCAATCTCAAATAAATAACTAGATAGATATGTGTAGATAGATGATAGTTGCATGTAGATGGATAGATAGATGATAGATAAATGAAATATATGTGCAGATAAATGGATGACAGATGTGTGTAGATTGATGATAGATGATAGACATGTATAGATAGATATTATAATGATAGATAGATGAAAGATGTGTGTACATAGATGATAGATGTATACAGATAGAGAAAGAGAGAATCTAGTCTGATTCCCTTCCCAGTATTAACAAATGGAACAGATTACTTGCTGTGTTAATGAGAATGATGAAAGAAGTTTGAGTGAGGTGGCTTTGGATTTTGTGAAAAAAAAAGTTTGACAAAGCTTCCAAAATATTTTTGTTTTTCTAGGATAGTTTTTATGACGCATTATTATTGAGCAATAATAGATCACCACTGAAATACTGTTTTTAGTTCTAGGCACCACATTTTAGGAAGGACTTTGACAAAATGGAGTCCTTAATAAGTCCTTGCTGACTTGACTTTTTTGCCTTTCTCTGTATCTCCAGTGCTTAGCACAGTAAATAATACTTTGCTGCATAGGTTCCCAAAGTGGGTAACACTGCTCCCTGGGGCATGCTAGAGCAATATGTGTGTGTGAGGGGTTTGGTTATAGCCTCAGGTACAATTGGGGGGCACTGGGGAGCAGTAGAAGCATAAGGAAAAAAAAAAGAGAATTTTGAAAAACCCTTGGTACTTGTTTCATCTGTTGTGTAACAGAGTTAAAGCCATAGTGATTACATAATTTTCCAAATAAACACCCAAAATGCAAATTATAATCAGCGGTCAAGTCTGCCAGACAGGTCTTATCAAACAAGTGTTGGCAGGGGAGTTGAGAAGTCTAACATGCATTGGCAGGAATATGTGCATGTAATGATTTTTTTGCAATATGGTACTATATGGTTATATGATGTAATATTGCACCATTAAAATATCAATGCTGGAAAAAACAAATTTATAATAAATTATTAAATTTAAGATGCATTTTTAAAAAATATATTTTATATTTTTTGAAATGACTCAAATTTAAAAAACATTAAAGGGTTAAAGAAAGTAGATTTTCAGGGAGGTGCTGAGTAATTTATTTTTAAAGGGGGAGGAAGGCCAGATAAATTTAGGAACCTCTGGCTTAGCGCATAGTAGGTGTTTAATAAATGTTTCTTTACCAATCCACTCTAAGGAAAGCATTAAAGGATTTAGACTTGTTGTTGACAAATAATAATTACATGCACACATCTACACAGACACACCAACCTGATTAATAACTGATGACATGGTGGCAATCTTCTGGAGACTTAACTTGGAAACTGTAGGGTTTGGGTCATTTACCCAGGTTCTGAAAAGTGCCAAAAATTCTTCAGGGAATGGATCCTTAAAAAAGTTATTCAGAAGCTAATATAAAAGAAAAGAAAGAAAGAAAGAAAGAAAGAAAATTATAACTAGAGCAAAGGTTATAACTATTGTTCTTGTCATTCAGTTGTGTCCAATGCTTGATGACCCCATTTTCTTGGCAAAGATACTGGAATGGTTTGCCATTTCCTTTTCCAGCACATTTTATATATGAGAAACTAAGGCGATCAGAGTTAGGTGACTTGCCCAGGATCATACTGCTAAGGAGTGTCTGAGGCCAGATTTAAACTCAGGAAGATGAGTCTACCTGACTCCAGGCCCGGCACTCTATCTACTGCACTACCAGCTGTTAAAATTATGAGCACCATGTTTTCCAAATCTCAAATAAGAAGCTAACAAAGAACATCTCTTTTGAAAGCCCTTTCTTTTGTTGAAATTCAGACTGTCAAAGAAGGTTTTTGACTTATGGTCGCTGTAATTTACATATGTAAATATATACTATATATTCTCAGGATCTACTTCTGAGTGTGAACAGTCAATACTTCATGGCATTCACTGCCACTACTTAACCCCATCTAATGTAAGCATCTGCCTAGGCTCCATGGACAGTCAAACGTGAACAAAAGAATTGGGTAGCTGTTGACCTTGAAAACTTCACTAGAAAGGAAGGGTAATGACTGGAGAAAAGATCATACCTTAAACCATACATCACAGAGGGATGCAGGAAAGGCCTGAGAAAGTTGTGACTCTGTTCTTGGCCAGAAGAAAGGAGGGAAGAAAAAGGATCGAGTACTGACCAGCCAACTCTCTCCTCCACAGCAATAACCATTTGTGTTAACTAGATAATAATTTATATAGGATCATAAGATCATAGATTTAGAGCTAGAAGAGACCTTATCGTCATCTAGGCCAACCCCATCCGCCTACCAGATACACAATTTTACAGATAAAGAAACTGAGGCTAAAAGAGATTACATGACTTGTTCATAGTAACACAGCTTCTGGTGTCTGAAGCAGAGTTTATTCTAACTCCAAGTCCAGTAGTCCATCTAACACACAATGTTGCCATAGTGGCTTGGTAGACAGCATGGAATAATGGAAAGAACACCAGCTTTGGAATTAGAAGGCCTGGGTTCAGATCCCACCACTGACACTGACCACCTCTGTGACCTTGGGCAAGTTGCTTAATCTCTTTGAATTTCAGTTGCTCCATGTGTAAAAGGAGGGGAGTTAGACTAGATTCTTCTGAGGACTCTTCTGGGTCTAGAGGTATGATTTAGACATGGATAAGAAGTCTAAAAACCCCAGATGCCCACAACCCCTAAGGAAAGCTTACCTCAATGAGGAAGATGACTGTGGTGACACTGTCTTCTGTTCTCCTGGGGCCTTCCAGAGAGAGCTTGTAGAGGTAATGTAAGGTCTCAGGGAGCTGTGTGAAGTTATACTCACTGAGAGTTCTGTGAAGAAGAATATAGACTTCCTATTAGGAAAGGGGGGAGTTTAATAGGTTCTACAGAAGGACCAGGGACAATAGAAAGATACCTCCCCATCTTGGCCCACCTATACACAAAGGGAATCACTAATAATTCAAGAAAGGCTGTGAGCCTCAACCTAAGTCCTAAAAAGTTCTCTGTACTAGGATTCCTGGGAGTTATATGAAGTCTGGATCTCTTAGCATATTTGCTATCATACTGATTCTATTCTTCCCCCACCCTGGGTAGAAGGCTTTCAATCTGCCCTGGAATGCCTGGATGAAAAAGGCAAGGTCCCATAAATTAATGAAATAATTTATATAAAACACTTTGTAAGCATAAAGAATTACACAAGTGAGTTATTTAACTCTGTTCCACAAGCATTAAGCCCCTATTATGGTGATAGACGAGCACTGAGGATACATTGACAAAAATCTGAAATATTCCTGCCTTCAAGAACTTCTATTCTTTAAGTTTATTTTAAACTTAAATATAAAATAAGAAAGAAAAAAAAACATTGCCATGCACACAGCAGAACATAAGAGAGGATTCACTATAAAACAATAAATTTCCATTTCAAGAAAACCTATGTAATAAACATTACACATTGTTTTCAGAGCTGCTCAAATTTTCTTTGCTTCCTTGTTGGTTTTTTTTTGTTCTCTGCTGTGCACTTTTTACTTTATTTTTCCCCCTCCTTCTCCCTCCTCCCAAAGAAGGTTACAATTAAGTGTAGATATATAGCTATAGATAAATATAGATAGATAGATACACATATACATACATATCTATAATCATACACATAGATACACTTACACACTCATACACATATATGTATTTAAAACAGTTGTTATGCTTATTTCCACTTATGTTTCTCTGAAGGTGGATGGTATCTTCCTTCAAAAGTCTAAGTCTTTCCACATTTTTCTAAATCAACCAGCTCACCATTTCCTACACCACAGCAATATTCCAACCCAATCACATCCTATCTGAGAGATTGTCTATCAAAGTTTTTCCCAATTTTCTGCTATTTTCTTCTATTATTGACTACACAGGTTTTATTTATACAAGAAAATTTTGATTTAAAATAATCAAAATTATCCATTTTATACTTGAACAATACTCTTACCTTATATCATTTAAGGTCTGATACTACTGAATCAGCTTCCTTTACATTTTTCCCCACCTGGTTTCTTTGAAGTTCCTCACCTTTTGTTTTTTGAAATGACCTTTGTTATTATTTTGCTAACTCAGTAAGATAATTTTTTTAGTAATTTAATTGGGATGGCATTTCATAAATAGATTAGTTAGGTAAAATTGTCATTTTAAAAATTATATTGGGGGCAGCTAGGTGGCACAGTGGATAGAGCACCGGCTCTGAAGTCAGGAGGACCTGAGTTCAAATGTGACCTCAGACCAAACACTTGACACTTACTAGCTGTGTGACTCTGGGCAAGTTACTTAACCCCAATTGCCTAAAAAAAAAATTAAAATAAAACAAAACAAAACAAAAAACTCAAAAATTATATTGGCTTTATCTACCTATTAACTACAAATATTACTTCAATTATTTACATCTGACTCTATTTGTACAAAAAGTGTTTTATGTTTATGTTCATATAATTTCTGAGTCTGTTTTGGCAGGTATACTCTTAGGTATTTTATACGGTCTAGTTACTTTAAATAGTCTAAAATAATATTGAATAATATGCTGACACAGTATAGTTTCCCTATTTTCTTTTGACTAAGTATATTTTAGTTTAAGAACTTATATTCTACTGGGTAGAAACAACAAGAATATTTTGAGGGTAGAAACATACTTAAATGAATACATTAAAGGTATATGGAGATTGGAAGTCTTTGGAGGGGAGGACTAATAACTAGGGGGAACTAGGGAAATCCTTCTGTAAGAGGTGATCCCTGAGCTAAGCTTTGAAAGGAACCCAGGATTCCAAGCTGTGGAAATGAAGAGAAAAACTGTTTTGGGCACGGGGAGAAGAGAGCAGCCAGTGCAAAGCAAAAGGTAGGAGATGGAGTATTATATGTGGGGATGAAGCAGGCTAGTCTGACTTCAGTGTGGAAAGTTTGAGGGGCAATAATGTGAAATCAGTTTGGAAAGATATCCTATAGTCAACATGGGGCTTTAAATGCTGAACAGATGAGTTTGCCCCAGAAGTCTTCTTGGACAAGGGGATCACATGGTAAAACCTATGCTTTGCAATATTAGTAATGTCAGTGATGTTGAAGAAGGATTGCAGAAGGGAAAGACTGAATTTGAGGAAGTTAATAAAGAAAATTATTTCGATAATCCAGGTAAGAGGTGATAGTGGCCTGAGCTAGGGTGGTTGCTATGTGAATGGAGAGAAGAGAACAGAGACAAGGGATTTTATAGGGAAAATCGGGCAACTGATTGGATGTAGAGGGTGGGAAAAGAGTGAAGAGTGAATAATCAAAGGTGGAAAGGTGAAGTCCTTGATAAAAATAACAAATTGAAAGAGAGGTGGGTCTATGGGGGGAAAAGAATGTGTTCCATTTTGGACATGTTGAATTTAAGATGTCTATGGTGGAGATGTCTAGCAATAAATTGGTGAGACGGGAAAGTTCAGGAGAAAAGTGAAGTTTGAGTATATAGATCTAGGAGTCTTCTGCATAAAGATGATAATTAAACCCATGGGAGCTGATGACATCAAGAAAGAGTAAAAATAATCTTTCCTATTTACTCCCTCTCTCTCCCCCCTCCTACCAAATGTATCTGATTTCTAAGTTCAGGTTGTTACTACATTTCCTGACATTGAGACATTGATGAAATAAGAACCAACCAACCTAGCAACTAGACTTCCTTCTGGAGATATACTCTAAACATTCCCCTGCCATACCCAGAGGTCTCTGGGCATGTGTATGTCTTGTAGGAATACATGTAAAGTTGGAAGGTGAGGTGGGGCTAATAAAATGAAGGGAGTGATTATTTAACCCAAATCAAACTGTTTTTTTTCCTAAACATTTGCCAGAGAGCGTTCTTTGATATTTTGAGGGCTCATGGCATCATTGTGTGTCCACTACTACCACCTATGCCCATACCCTTAAGTAGATGGATTCTTGTGGCAAAAAACAAAAACAAAAACAAAACAAAAAACCATCCACTTTTGTGTTATGAACCTCTCTACAATTAGTTAAGCTGGATACTGAACGTGCTTGAATGAGGTGGGGGTAATCTGATAATCATCTTGTTTTATTTTGAGGTAGCTGAATGTTTCAGTGGTCTGAGTGCTAGGCCAGGCATCAGGAAGAACTAAATTCAAATATAGTCTCAGATACAGTAGCGGATATAGGCAAGTCATTTAACCCCCGTTTGCCTCAGTAACCTCATCTATAAAATGGGGATAATAATGGTACCTGCTTGATAGGGTTATTGTTTAAAGATTAAATGAGATACTACTAGTAAAGCATTTAGCATGGTTTCAGGCTCATAATAAGCATTACATTTATGTTAGTTATTATTATTACTATTATTATTAATCTCCCCATATACTAAAAGGTAATTTCCCCATGCTTTTGTGTTTTCCCCCCACCCCCTCCCATCTTAAGAAGTTTCTTCTCTATCCTAGACTTCAAAAATTAGAGGTAAAAGTGTCTACTTATATGTGAGGGCAGATAATATTTCTACTGTTTGATTACCTTGATTTTTTATTTACCACTTCTTCTATGTCTTTTATAATGAGAATTCAGACATTCTAATTCAAATTCTAGTATTCTTTTCCTGACACCAGTCAGAGAACACCTGTGTACTCGTCCCAACTAGCTAGCTATAAAAATGGCATAATATAATTCCCATCCTCATCATTCCCTTTCCTTCCTGATCACCAAAGCAGAGGGGCAGGAACTGTCATTCCTGTCCTCCATCCTCAGTTTTCTCAACCAAAATAAGGGAGGTTAAACTTGATAATGTCCAAGAAAGCCTCCTATGATGCGGTAAACCAAGACAAAATGAAGTTCATTTAAAAGGTCTGCAAATATTGAGACAGATGTCAGCAATGATTTCACAGGGTGTAAGAAGGACTATGTAATAATACCTTTTCGTTTTTTGAGTTAATGGAAATGGGAGATAGGGAAGGGCCTAGTACATTGATACTACTGATTGGTTTTCTCTTACTTGGCAATGACGTAGACTCCGTAGTGATGAAATATGACATTGGAAAACTGGTTCCAGCAACCCTTTTTCTGAAGGGCGTTATCCACTTGTTGTAATCCTGAACATCTCAGTAGGAGCCTCAAAGCCTGCTGGGCAAAGCTAGATGGCCAAAGCAACAACAGTGTGACTACTTGAAGAAAATGCACACACCTTGCTGATCAGTCTCATGCACGATGCTGGTTTTGCTATGCAAGAGCTATTTCAGTGATTAGGTGGTCTCCAGCTTTTATGGGGGACAGAATATGAAGAAATAAATTTAAGATTCTTCGTCCCACAAGGGTTTTTAATAAACTATAAGGAAGAACTTTTTCACAGTGAGAACTGATAAATAATAAAATAGACTGAAGCAAGTTGTGAAAATTTCCCTTTCTGGATGTCTTTTAAAAAGAGGATGGATTTTCATCTAAGGAAAGTCAGAGTAGTATAGCCTTAAACTTGGAATCAGGAGACCTGGGTTTAAGTAAAATAATTTTCCAAATCTAATATTTCATGATTATGGTTATGTTGGCCCCACCACTTACTAGCTCTGTGATGATGGAGGTCACCATTTCTCTAAGCCTAGATATCTTCATCCATGAAATAGAGTCATAATACTAAGCCTACTTCCATGACAGAGCTATTTTAAGGAAATAATAATAGTAATTCCTCATCTGTTTATATTACCATGGGACTTCTCCATCAGGGTCAAGAAAGCTTACTGGGAAAACCTTATCATTCTGCAAGATCTCATCAACTTTGCTACATCAGCATTTATATAATGCCTACAACATGCCAAGTACTTCACAAATATTATCTCATTTGGTCCTAACAATAACTATTTTTAAAATTTTGTTTAAAAAAAATTGTGTTTTTTGTGACATTTGAGTTCCAAGCTCTTTCCTTCCCTTTTTCCCAACTCCATCTACCGTCCATGACACCATAGAACTTCTTTCTTAGTATTGCCATCTTACCATTGTTCTGTATTTTTTTTTAGCTTCATTTCACTGTTATAATGGAGTTGTAGTATTAGGGCAATTAACAGCTCAGGGAAAAACTGGGCTGCTGCTTTCCTGTACTCAGGGACAGGGAGTAAGGTACACAGAGCCTGGGCTGCCTAGGGGAAAAAAAAAAAAAAGAAAAGAAAATGAGACCCAACTGTTATTCTGGGTTTCCCCATTTTCATCTTTCTCTGATCTCAACCAGTCTTGGACAATAAAAGGAAGGACATCACCCACCCCAAACCCTGTCTTCCTGGGGAGACTTAAATCCTGTAGAGTAAAATCATGCTGATATAACCCAGGGTCAGCTATTCTCCAAAGTTCAGACTCTGGGCTTTAAGCAAACTTAATTATTTTCAAACCACAAAAATTTACTTTGAGATGAATATTCCCAGAATTATACCAATAACTTATATTTACATCGCTTTTTTAATTTTGCAAAGCTTTTTCCTTAAAATGGCCCTAAGGTCAAGAGTGCAAGTATTCCTAGCCTCATTTTACCAATGAGGAACTGATCTTCTGAGAGGCTAGTTGACTTGTCTTTGATCACACAGATCAAAGGTCTGGATACAAATCCAGGTCTCCCCATTCCAAGCTCTATTCGCTATACCATTCTGCATTTCAAAGTTGATGGATTTTCAGAGGTCATCTACTTCAGCGAAAGTTTTTGCTTTTCACAAAGGTTCATTACAAGATTCCAAGGGAGGGTGCCCAGGCTGGCCACATTGTTCGTTTCTCACCATGTTGTCCTTCTGTGGACTGCTCCATCATGTTCCCTAAAGCTCTTTGTTGTGGAAGATCACTTCAGCCCTGTACTCCCATTTTAGAAATACCTTCTTCCCCTGGGTGAGGGTGGGGGTTGAAAGTCCTCTCAGACTGGAGACTAGAGGGATCCTCCCAGAATCTCCAATTAAGGAGAGCACCCAGGCTAGCCATCTTTTCAGGCTACACGATTCAGGACTGTTCCATCATGCTTCATGCCGAGGTACTTTTTCCTTCCTTCCCCTTTTCAGTTTGCTCTTAATGTATTTTCTTCCCCCCGTAAGGTCCTTGAGGGCAGGGATTGTTTTCCTGCTCAGCACAGTGCCTGACACACAGTAAAGGCTTAATAAATGCTCACAGATTGACTGTGTCTGAAAGCTAGGTGTCTCAGTTGATAGAGTGCCAGGCCTGAGTTCAAATCCAGCTTCAGACACTTACAAGATGTATGACCTTGGGCAAGTCACTTAAGCTTGTTGGCCTCAGTTTCCTCATCTGTAAAATGAGCTGGAGAAGGAAATGGCAAACCACTCCAATATCTTTGCCAAGGAAATGGACCCCAAATGGTGTCACAAAAAGTCTGATGTGACTGAAATGACTGAACAACAACAGAGAATGACTTTGGTCTTTGTATCTCCAGCACCAAGCATTGAGTGTACTCTGGATTCACTATAGGCCTTCCAGCCTTCACTGGAGGTGTCTTAGAGTTCCAGAAAAGCTATCTCCTTCCCCTGACCTTGTCTCTCACCTGAAGGGCTGACAAAGGAGTGAGGACCTACTCCCAACCCACTGCTTGTCTGGCCTACCTTTTGTCCCCAGGCAGTCTTCTGGGAGGCAAAGTATTTCTGAAACCAATCTGACCCAGAGGGGACCAGCCCAGCCCGAAGGCTGAAGGGGGCAGGGGGTGGAGGCTTTGCTCCAGGGCTGCCAATTCTTTTGGGGCTGGAGATAGAAAAGGAAGGTGGCAACACCTGTATAACTCTAAGGATTCTGTGAGATTTGAGCTTCATTTGACTCTATCTCAGCTCAATTTCATTTTTAGTAAGAGTTGAATGAATGAGGTTTCCTTTGCAACCATGGGCAAACCACATCCTTTTTTTGAGACCTTGGTTTCTTCCTTTGTAAAACCAAGTGTGATTTTAAAATGTGAATTGACTAGAAGATTCCTAAGGTTTCTTCTAGTTCTAAGGAGTTACTTTTAGGGGATACATGTATGTGCATGTGCAGGTATTTGCATATATATGTGTATGTGTGGGTATATACATACACACACATATACATATGGGCATATGTATATGTAAATTTGGAGTCCTTTTTTCAGCACTCCCCCACACAAAGCACCTGTTTGTGGTAAGGGTTGTTACTCTATCTCCACCTCTTCAGAAATCAGGCTTCGAAGAACAGACCTTAGCACCTAGTTATCAAGAGTAATTCATACAATTCATTTAAATAACAAGTTACCAAATGGTGGGGGTGGTGAGCCTTGGGTACCTCTTTCTACCCTTGGGATAATATACACAGATAGTTGGGAAGGTCTGAATTTAAATTTGGCCTTAGACATTTGCTAGTTGTAAGACCTTTGGTAAGTCACTTACTCAGTCTGCCTCAATTTCCTAATAGTGGCACTTCACTCACAGGGTGGTGGTAAGGATCAAATGATATTTCATTTTCATCTGTAAATATTTCACATTCATTACATCTGTAAAGTATTCAACACAGTGCTTGGCACACAGTAGGAGTTTAATAAATTCCCTTACTCCCTTCCCTTGAAACTTTGGGCACGTTTGGTACCACTGGCCCTAGGTGTGATCTGTAGTACTTGTGCTACATAATAATTCTTGGAGTTATGGATCTGAGTTCAGAGAGCATTTGGCTTTGATAATCTTTGGAATCTGTGATTGTATAAAAGCATAAAGGAAAGCTAGATTAACTTTAGGGAAACACTATTTCGGCCCAAGGGATTGATTCCTTGGTAGTGGTCATGTTTGGGGCATTGGGTTTTGGGGGGAATAGGATGCCTTCTCTATAGCAATTGTCTTCCAGCCTCAGTCTTCCACTGGCTGTCACCTGCCAGGATCCCTTATTTAATAGCGAGAGTCAAGAACTGGTGTACAAAGGCACGAGTAGCCGTTTTTAGGGGTCAGGGAGCAGCAGGCATGAGAACTAGCAGTCGCCGACCTCATTGTGCCCCCAGTGTCAAGGGTCAGACACACTGTCTCCTGTTCTACAATCCCCAGCTGCCACTCCATGTCTTACCAAAGTGGTTTTGCCCCTGGCAAAATTATTCTTAGTTACAACTCTCCTATGACAGACCTAAACCTAGGTAAGGGCCTCTGTGATGAGCTGAACATTGCTGCCACTAATAGTGAGAACCTTAGAAATGGTGGACATGAGACATACTGTCACAGGCATCATGTTGGCATCATCAAGAGAAAAACGTTTCTGCGCTGGATTATTTCCTTCTACTTCTCCAGGCTTCCCCTTCAGCACCGTCAGGATTGTCTTCAGCACAAGAGGTGAGGAGTCTGTTTCTGAACTGACTGCTTGCCACATCTCCAGCACTAAACTGAAAGGTAGTCCCCCACAAAGAAAATTTAAAAAGTGTACAGTAATCTTGCATTTGGTGTGCAACATGGAAATGTACCCAGGTCACCCACTGAGGTCATCTCACTACCTTCCTGTAGCAGCTGCCTTGTTTCTTCCCACTTGGAATCTGCAGCCCTCATGTGAGACCCAAAGCTCTATATCCTGGACCTCCGGAATCCATGTTCTCAAGTCCCTGAAGAGTTGATACACTCACCTTTGGAGCTTCCATCCTAGGGCCAAACCTAATTGATTGGATGTGGAATGAGTACAAACTAGCTCAATTAACCTTCTATAGCTACTGGCTTTTCCTAGCCAGACTATGTTTTACCTTTACATCTCATCTGGCCATCCACCAAGGATGTCCACCAAGGACATCCCCCTAGGACATCTCATCACCTGTTTGGTTGGCCCTCCACTGCAAATATCAATCTCCATAGCCTTTTGCTTTTGGCACAGTGATCAAATAAATACTGTGTTTACTTCTGTAAAGGTTCTATAAATTGGTTGCCTCACTATCTCTGTCACTCCCTAGACCCAAATTCCCTTCCTGGGCCACTACTCCTCTACATGTGTTGTCTTCCCCCTATAAGAATGTAAGTTCCTTGAGGGTGGGGATTGACTGTCTTTTTTTTTTTTTTTTTTTAATCTTCAGCTCTTAGCACAGTACCTGGCACATAGTAAATACTCAAAAAAAGTTTTTTTTTCCTTCATTCATTCAAGTAGAGGGTCAGGAATCAGAAGCCTTGGTTCTACTTTTTTTATACAACACAAATAATCATGTTTGAATCCCCAAATAGAGAGAATAATGTCTTTTTCCAGTTGGTTTTGTGACTTGTCAACTTCTTGGGACTTCTTCGAAAGGGTTGTAACAAGATTCCAAAGGAAAATGAAGTTGGAAAATCCATTTTCCTCTTTTGCTTCTAAACATTGCCCAACTTATAGTCAAGGACTTGTGATTTATCACCCATGTATTCTGCTCCTCTAGGCAAGTGTACCTATACATTTAGGTCCACTACTATCCCCTTCTTTTTTTTTTTAAGGCTATTGGGGTTAAGTGATTTGCCCAGGGTTATACAGCTAGTAAGTGTCAAGTGTTTGGTCTGAGGATCAATATGAACTCAGCTCCTCCTGATTTCAGGGCCGGTGCTCTATCCACTGCACCACCTAGCTGCCCCCACAACCCCCTTCTAATCCAATATCTTGGTACTACTGTGGCATTAAACAGGATACATAGAAGGAGTCTCTACTTCAGAAGATGTTGGCTCAACATTCAGGTCATTGTGGTTCCTGGTTCTTACTGTTCTCTTTCTGGAATGCTAACCCCTATTACCTAATCTTTCTGTGCCAGAGTGTTTGACCTGATGTCCTGTCCCTCCATGTGTAAATTTCCTGACTCCTATCATGTCTTATTAATCCCTTGATTCCCTCTGCCCTTATGTTTCCTGGACTAGTGTTTTCTGTTTAATCATCTCGATTATGACCACTTATGCCATCTTGGACTGCCATTACTCTCAGATCTGCCTCCTTTCATTCTGCTTATATTATAGACTTTGGTCCAGACTGTTACTTGGAACTCCATTGCCTAATTTGGAATCCCACTCCCCTCTCACTAGTCCCTTGCATCAGGGTTGATAGTTGTGACTTTGAATTATGCTTCTCTACCTAGATAGGCCGGTACTAGCTAACCTATTAAAATGTCCTCTTCAGATGCTCAATTTTCAGGCTCTCTCTGGCCTCGAAATCAGAAGCTAAGGAAACTTAGAGCTGGAAGGAGCCTTGGACATCATTTAGGCTAACCCCCTTATTTTCATGTGAAGATACTCAGGCCTGGAGAAGGGTAGTGATATCCATGAGGTCACAGCTAGTATGCGAGCAGAGCCAGAGATACTGATGCCTATTATACCACATAACGTCCACAAATGGAAAATCCTAGTCCTACCCTCATTTTTTGCCATGTAAATCTTAGTGTTGAGATTTATTCATTTTTGTCTGGAAACAGTGTCTAATTAAATTCACCTGGTTCTAATTATTCCATCCCCTTTTATTACCTTCACACTGATATGCGAAGTTTGTATTCTATTGCCAATAAGCATTTATTAAGCATCTTCTACATGCCAGGCACTGTGCTAAGCCCTGGGGATACAATGAAAAGCAAAAGACAGTCTCTGCTCTCACACTAATGTAGGAGACAACATGTAATCAATGATGTATAGATAAGCTATATACAGAAGAAATTAGAGATAATCAAGAGAAAGCAGACACTTGTCTTAAGAGGGAACAGGAATCTTGAGTATTATTCTTTCCACAAAAAGCCTTCCTATCCTTTGACTCCTTACCTACCAGGTTCCCTGCTAAATTTTCTCTTGCACATTCTTATGTCCCACCTTTTCCATTCTCAAAACTCCCAGGTCATACTACGAATTAAGAGTTCAGATAACTAGAAACTTCCATTTGTGGCTGGGGAACTGAAGATTTCAGTTCATCTTACTAACAGGTAGAAGTGAGAGCCCTCCTCTTGGTTAATAAAGAGACCACTTTGCACCATTCCGGTAGATGTTCCAAGACTTCCCTCAAGGAGAATAAGAAAATGCCCATTTGTCAGGAAAACCCACTACTGTTTTAAGGGACAATGGTCTGTGCCTAAAATACAGGCATCAAGAAAGCAACATTTATAAGCTCTGGGTGAATATACTCTTAATAAAAGAAACTTTCTCACCTGTTTACTGGATACGTATAGTCCAAAAGTTGAAAGACGACTTTCTGGGGGCAGCAGCGAGTCAACAAGGTGACTACCTGCAGCAGTGCATGCTTTAGAATGTTAGGTGACTCACTACTCAATTGCTTATGAATATAATCCACAATCTTAGCTGCCTGGAAGAGAAATAGTACATCAGAAACTGTCTTCTCTGATGTTCTTCCTATTGTTTTGAATATGAATAATATAGCCCTAAGCTTCTTGAGGTTATGGCAAGACTCCACAGAATTCACCTCTCTAATTTAAGAAAATCAAGAACTGGAGGTAAGAATTTAAACCTCATCATTCATCAACAGGGAGAACAATTAACTGGGGAAAAGGGTAAAATCAAAGCATTTTAGGCTAAAAAAATATATTTAGGGAAGAAATAAACCTGCAGGTCCTTGAATGACAAAATAAGATCCATCTATTATAAAATTCCTTGAAAATATGTCTTGGAAAGTCAGTTCAGGTGCAACCTGAATAGGAGAGTTTTCCTGACAACCTGATTTTTAGTGCTCTCTCCAGTGCTTAGCATAGTGCTTGGAACACAGTAGACACTTGATAAATGCTTGTTGATTTGACTTGAGGACTCAAATTACATGTAAATGTTCTTTCCCTCTAGTAGAATCAAGCTCTTTCATTTTGCCTTTCTATCCATAGAATGTAGAATAATGTCTTGCATATACTAAGCACTTAATAAATGCCTGATATTTTTATTGTCAGTTCTGTCATGATCAATGAAATATGTCAGCTTCATGAAACCAGTTAAAATAACTTGCTGAAAAGCCATCCATGTGTCACCCAGTATGTTAACTCGATGATACCAATGTTGATATTATTTGCATTTATAACATACATTGTTTTATTTGATCCTCACAAAAATCCTCATCAGATTTGTAGTGTAAGAAGTTTTACCCTTTTCCTCTCACTTCCTCCTGAACTATCTGCAATCTGGCTATTCATTCAAGTAAAAACACTCTTTCTAAGGTTATCAGTGTTCACTTAATGGCCACATGTAATGACTTTTTCTCAATCTTCATCCTTCTTAACAGCTCTGCATTTTTTGACACTATACATTACCCTTTTCTTATTGATTATCTCTTCTCTTTCTTTTTGTGACACCACCCTGTCCTGGTTTTCCTACCTGTATAATTGCTCCTTAGTCACCTTTGCTGGGTCTTTATCCAAGAGTCACCCGCTAACAATGTGTTTCCCCCAAGGCTCTGTTTTGGGTTCTCTTCTCTTCTTACATACTATTGACCTTGTTTATCTCACTAGCTCCCATGGCATATCTACAGCTCCTGAGATCAATTTATCCAGCCCTAACCTCTATCCAGACCTCCAGTCTCACATCTACAATTGCTTAATGAACATCTGAAACTAGATGTCCCATAGACATCTTAAACTCAACATGTCCAAAACTGAACTCATTATCCTTCTCAGAAGACTCTATCTTCTTCCCAAACTCCATATTTCTGTTGAGGGCATCATCATCCTTCCAGGCACCCAGGTTTGCACCGTAGGTATCATCCTTGACTCCTCACTCTCCTTCACCCTCCACATCCAATCTGTTGCCCAAATCCTGCTGATTCTACACCTGTAACATTTCTCATATGCACCTCTTTCTCTTTTTTGACACTGCCACCACCTTGGTATCAGCCTTCAACACCCCATGTGTGAACTGTTGCAATAAGCTATTGGTTGCTTTCCCTCACTCATTTCTCCCCACTCCAGTCTACTCTCCACGCAGCTATGAAAGTGATCTTCCTGAAACAGAGTTCTGACCACATCACCACTCTTTCAACTCCCCTCCCCAGTCAGAGAAACTCCAGTGGCTCCCTAGCACCTCCAGGCTCAAATATAAAAGCCTTTCTTTGGCTTTTAAATTTCTAACCCTTTTCTACTTGTCTAGGCTTTTTAGATCTTACTCTCCCTCAATGTACTCTCTGAGCCAGTGACACTGGACTCCTTGATGTTCCTTACACCAGACACTCCTCCTGACTGGACACTTTTACTCGCTTTCCTTCCTGCATGGAAAGCTCTCTCTCTTCATCTTCCAGCTTCCTTCAAAACATACATACATACTTATTAGCACATATTTCTTGTGCTAATATCACTTTGTAGTTTATGGGTTGCTTTTGTCACAACCATCCTGTAAAGTAAGGTCAAAAGACCTGGAAGCAAGAACCAACTTCACCATTAGTTATGTGACTTTAAGCATGTCCCTTAACATGTCTCTGGTACTTGGTTTCCACATCTATTAGATGGAGATAATAATACTAGACAGAATCTAACTAAGGTGGAGCAAATGGACTTTTTGCATCAGGGTCCTACACTTTCTCCCTAGGAAAGTGTCTTTCAATGATTCTTCTCTAAATCAACCACTATCTTTGCCTCAGCTAATGTTTTTATGGGGTCTATGAAAACAGTCACATTCATGAGATTCTCTGGAATACCAGTTGCACATTACCAGTGAGAGAAATAATTATTAATAACCAATAATTTGGGGAGATTCAAAGCTCTCCTCTTCTTTCAAAGTCCTCATTTTAAAAGTTCAGTCTCTTGAAGGACATTACTGATAATGAAATTGAGTTAACTCTTCTCCATCTTGGTCAGAACCCCATTGTGTTCTACACTTGCTTAGGTGGAGACAGATCCTTTTGTCTAGATAGCTCAAAGCTGGGAGTAGTCTGAGTATAGAGATAGTTTCTCTGTCCAAGGTTGACATGATGTCACTCTCAGCCCTTCATTTTAATATAGCTCACCTTCCATTGTATCATCCAATCAGAGCTGATTGCCACCCCTTAGGAACATGTGCTCTTTGAAGGGTGTATGAACTGTAAGCCTGCTGCCATGATTGTCTTTTGTCTAAGAGAGCTGGCCAAATGACCACCCTTTTATTAATAATGGCTCGTCTTATTAACAAAATGATTAAATTACTCAGAAACTGTTTCTTGAACCTTTTTAATCATCACACCAGCATGACTACACCCCCAGTGGGACTTGTTCTCTGCACAATAAACCCTTCTTCCTCACAGACTACCTTCTGTACCAACATTATGCCTCTCCCCTGCACTGCTCTAGATGACCCAGTTGGACAGTTGCACTTTCAGATAGTTGCATGGCCTCTTCTCTCAATCAACTGAATTTGCCCCTGTTTTGGTTTCAGGTAGGTAGAATTCTGATGTTTGAAGTCCTTACTTTACAGGATGGTTGTGACAAAAGCAATCCATAAACTATAAAGTGATAAAGAAAGTATGTTGTAACAGATTTAGTTATATCAGCTTGACCATGTATGGTGGGGTATGGTGAATTTCTTTATAAAATGGAAAGCTTATAAATCAATTGTAATCTTTATCCTCTTAACAGCAGTATAAGCTTCTCACATTTATGCAGATGTTTGGAGGATCATAGATTTAGAACAATAAAGAATCTTAGAGATTATGGATACCAGTGTCCTTAATTTATAGGTGAGGAATCTGATGGTCAGAGTGGTGTCTCACAGCTAATATAGAGAGAGGCCCAGGCTTCAAACCCAGGTCTTCTGACTGCATGCTCCTTCTATTGTACCACACTGCCTTTCTTGGATAATGTTCAGTAAAGGCCCTTGCAATTGAGGACCCTTGAAAACCTTATTTTCTGAGTACAGGTCAATGAAAGGCAGCATGTAGAGAGCACAAGACTTAGTCAAGAAGGTCTGAGTTTGCATCCTACCATGGTATATTCCATAACCTCTTTGGGCCTCAGTTTCCTCATATATAACATGAGATGCTAGGAGCAGATGACCTCTAAGAGTCCCTTCCAATTTTAAATCTATTATCCTATGAGACAAGAACAGAAAATAGGAGGACGTGTATTAGAGTAGAATTCCCTCTTCCCCACCCCACCCCAAGGGGAAAAAAAAAAAAACAAAACAAGTGAATCTGTGCTTTGTTATTATTAACCAAGGCTCTTACCCCAGTCACTTTAGTGCCATAGTCCATTAGGACCAGTTTCAACAAGGTTGATGCTTTTGTTGCAGTCTTCAATGGAGGGTTGCAAAGTTTCTTCAGAAGACCAAAGACAAAGTCATTCAGCAGGTATGGTGGCAAGTATTCACCTATATACTGAAACCAAACAGGAAACAGCCAATCAGCCAGAGTGAAACTTGATTGTGATGCGGTAATGGAACCTGCCTCCCTAAAAAGAAAAGACCATGTCTTTGAAAGCAACCCAGTCCCTGAATTTTCCCATACATTTCCACAGCCCAGATTACTGGCCTCTGCCCAAGGCAACTGGCCCACCCCAGCCCACCTGGATCACCTAATTAGCTTACTTGACAGTCCTTTCACTGTAGCTCTTGGCCCAACCCAGACTACTTGCATATATCCACTATTCCTTAATCCCACTAGATCATCTAATTAGCCTACTTGAGGTCCTTTCACATCTGGCCCACTCAGATTATTTACTACTCCTTAATCCCACCCAGATCCTTTCACTATCCTTTTTGTATGTAAGTATCAATCTCACTCCCAGTAAGTTGCAGTTCACTAGGAACCGTGCTTGCTACTATTGCATTATAATAAAACTTGCCACTTTGACTGGAAGAAGGTTTGAGTGTGTGAATTCTTTTCAGGAGGACTCTGACCTGTACCTGACATTTCAGGATCCCAGCAACCCCAAATCATATCAATTTCTTAGCATAAAGCAGATTTTTTTTTTCTCTAGAGCAAAATAAAGATAGAGAGAATATCTTCTCGGGGTGAAGAGAGCCAGAATACAATGGAGGTAAGAGGGAACACAATCATATTTACTTTTCTATACCATGGTTGTATGAACCCAGATTGGACATGGTCCTGGTGGGTAGAAATTAAGACTGACAGGAGTCTGGAGACACAAGAGGTAGAATAGTAACAGGGATGCATTGAAAGGGACTTGTGGTGGAGATGGGAGGACTTTGCTCCTTCCTGTCATAATGACACCAGGCAGAGAAGGATACAATACAAATATCTCAGTGTCTAAAATATGGAAGATAAAATCCATAGGAACTGAGCTATACAACAAAGGTGGGTAAAAAAAATGCACTATATATTTAAGTAACCTGTTCTCATCATAACCTCATGAAATTTCTCCTTTTACAGAGGCGGTACTGTATGTGGTAAATAGAGTACTCAACTTGAAATCAGAAAGACTTGGATTCAAATCCTGCCTCAGACACTTAATAGTTGTCTGACCATAAGCAAATCACTTAAACTGTCTGTGCTTCAGTTTCCTCATCTCTAAGAGGAGGAGGTTGGATGAAATGGTTTCTAAGGTCCTTTCCCACTCTAAATATATGATCCCTATGTTCTTGCAGCACAACAGTAGTGCACCACCTTTCCTCCCCTAGCAATCTCTTTCACTAGCCTCACTAAAGGGGAGAGATACTGCTCAGCTGATGACAATCATTTGCCTCCACTTTTTGCCCATCACTTAAATCCAATTCACTTGCAAGTCAAGACATTACTTTCTTGGTGTCACTGGTCCTCTTCAAGAACAAAGGATAAACAATGACATCATGGCAAAAGTATCGAGTGACTCATATTACCCATTAAATAATTAAGAATGTCATGCAGGGAATCAAGAGAAAGGTGACTAGAATGGAGAAAAGCCTCAAGATTATGTGATGTGGGGTTTGACTAATGGAACCTGGGTTATTCAGCATGGGCAAAAGAAGAATTAGAAGGGACATGACAGCTTTCTTCAATTACTGAAGGACTGCACCATGGCAGAGGAATTCAGTTTCCTCGGCTTAAATCTGAAGGGTAGAGGATGCAAGTTGCAACAGAGGCTGATTCAGGTAACTTCCCAATGATTAAAGCTATTCAAAATTATACTCACTACCTCTTGGAATTGAGGGCTCCACAAGGGAAGAATAGAGAAGGGGACCACAAAGTTTCAGATTTGGAAGAGATGTCAGCAGTCAGCCAGGGCAATTTTATTAGAAAAGGAATCTCCATTGGTAAATGCCTCCAAAGGAGTCATCCAGGCTTTCCTTAAAGACTTCCACTGAGGAGAAACCCACAACCTCCTCACCCACTCATTCCATAAATACATACGCTAGGGCTTCATGCCTGGCTTGCTTGTCAGAGACCCTCTGGAGTGTATTTTTTAAAAAATTTTTTAAAAATTTACTTATTTTTAGTTTTCAACATTCACCTCCACAAGATTTCGAGTTCCAAATTTTCTTCCCATCTCATCCCTCCCCCCTCCCCAAGATAGCATGCATTCTGAATACCCCTTCCCCTAATTTGCCCTTGCTTCTATCTCTCTACCCCTACTGTTATCCCCTTCCCCTTCTATTTTCCTGTAGGGGAGGATAGATTTCTATATTCCATTTCCCATATTTCTTATTTCACAGTTGCATGTGAAAACAATTTTTAATATGTGTTTTTAAAACTTTGGGTTCCAAATTATCTCCCTTCTTCCCTCCCCACCCACCCTCATTTAAAAGGCAAGCAACTTGATACACTTATACATGTGTAGTCATGTAAAACACTTCCATAGTAGTCATGTTGTGAAAAACTAAGTATATTTCCCTTCATCCCATCCCACCCCCTATTTATTCTATTCTTTTCACCCTGTCCCTCCTCAGACATGTTTGCTTCTGATTATCCTCTCCCCCAATCTGCCCTCCCCTCTATCATCCCCCTGCTCTCTTGTCCCCTCCCCCCCATTTTCCCATAGGGGAAAGATTTCCATACCCAATTGAGTGTGTATGGTATTCTCTCCTTAAGCCAAATCCTATGAGAATAAGATTCACTCATTCCCTCTCACCTTCCCCCTCCCTTTCCCCTCCACTGTAAAAGCCTTTTCTTGTCTGTTTTATGTGAGATAATTTACCCCATTCTACCTCTCCCTTTGTCCTTCTCCCAGTATAATCTTCTCTCACTCCTTAATTGTATTCTCCATATATCACCCATTCATCTTCAACTCACCCTGTGCCATCTATCTATCTATCTATCTATCTATCTATCTATCTATCTATCTATCTATCTATCTATCTATCTATCTATCTATCTATCTATCTATC